GACACAGGAGGGGAACGAGGAGGAAGACGGGCCGGAGACGAGTCTGGCGGCGGGAACACAGGACCGTAGACAGGGAGGTCAGGAGGCGGTGGGGGAGACACCGGCGCGCGGTCCGGGGAGGGAAGGCCGAGCAGGCGGAGAGCGGAAACCGGCGGCGACGGCTGCTGCGGCGGCGACGACGGCTGGGCCGGAACTCTCGGACCAGCAGAGGCAGAACGACCGTCGGCAGAACACTCAACAGCAGCACCCCCAGAACCAACACCCCCAGAGCGAGAACCCCCTCCAACACCAGCGGCACCCCCAGAAGCCGCAGGACGAACACCCTCCTCCACACCAGCACCCCCAGGGGCCGAGAGCAGCGGCGGCAGTGGCGGCAACGGCTGCGGCGGCGGCGACAGCGGCGACGGCTGCGGCAGCGACAGCGGCGGCGGCGGCGACGACAGCGGCGACGGCTGCGGCGGCGACGGCGACGGCGGCGGCAGCGGGGTCGGCGACTGCGACAGTGGGGGCGGAGGCACCGGGGAAGGGGGACGCGGCAAGGACGGACCGGGGGTACCACCAGAGTCAGCAGACTCCTCAACGGGGACAACCGACGGGAGGGGAGTGACGTGGGAGACACCAGACGGGGCAGGACGAGGCGGGAGAGGGGCAGGGGCTACCGGGGGAGAGGGAGCAAGGAAAAGGGGGGGGGCAACTGGGAGACCTCGGTGAGGGAAGCGGCGGTAGAAGGAGACGGACTCATCAAAGGTGACGTCACGAGAGTGGAGGAAGCGGTGAGACGGCGGGTGGTAGAAAAGCCAGTCAGACGAGTCCAGGGGGAAACCGAGGAAGACACAGGGGACAGTGCGGGCAGTGAGCTTGTCCGTGCCAGAGGCACGAACGTGAGCAAGGCAGCCCCAGACGTGGAACGCAGACGCGTCACCGGGGGACCCGGTCCAAAGGAGGGTCGGCGAAACCTGCGGCCGCTGGGAGCGTGGCCACAGGTTAAGCTGGTGAGCCGCGTAGCGAACAGCGAACGGCCACAGAAAATGGGGGGCATCGGCATGGATCATGGAGGTACGGGCGACCTCCATGACCAAGCCGATGCGGCGCTCAGCAACCCCATTCTGCTGTGGCGAGTCCGGCAACGTGTACGACTGGGTGATGCCCTCCGCACGACAGAACTGTCCAAGCCGACCAGAGGCGAACTCGCCGCCACGGTCGGAGTGGAGACACAACACGGGGAGACCGCGGTGGAGACGCGCAGCCACAACCCACGGGAGAAGAACGTCGGGCACGTCGGCCTTCCGCTCCAGGGGAAACACCGTGGTGTAGCGCGTGTAGTCGTCGACAAGCACAAGGAAGTAGCGCTCACCGCGCGGTCCGGGGACGGGGGCAGGGCCCCAAACGTCCAAGTGCAGGGTCTGAAGGGGGGCAGTAGCAGGACGCAGCGAGGAGGAGTGAGGAGCACGGCGGAGCCGACCCTCGACGCAAGGCGTGCACGGTGGCGCAGTCGAGGGAGGAAGGGCAGGGAGCGACGTGGGGAGACCTAAGACAAGACCGTGCTGGGACATGTGACGCAGACGCGGGAGAGCAGGGTGACCTAAGCGGTGGTGCCAGAGAAGGGAGGGGTGAGTGAGGGACCGACACGAGCAAGCTGCAGCGACCTGGGAGGACGCACCAACCGGGGGGGAAGCGGTGTGTAGGGTAAACAGACCGGACACCGGGTCCCGGGGGAAAGTCGCAAGGGGGGAACCTGAGACAGCCTCAGAACAGACAGCGAACCGCTCGTGCCCGGGGAACGTGGTGGTGACGCCGAGGTCCTGGAGACAGCCGACACCAACCAGGTTCCTGGAGAACGAGGGAACGTGGAGGCCAGTAAGGGAGCCCGAGGGAACTGCCGGACAGGGAAGGGACGTAGAACTGCGCGCGACGACCGGACCCGCAGAGGGGTCAGCGAGAGAGACAACAGCAGGTGCAGCAAGCGGCGTGAGCGTGGAACGGTCGCGGAAGAAGCAGGCAGAAGCACCAGAGTCGAGAGTGAAGGACAGCGACGCAGTGGCGGGGGCCGGGGACGGAGCCGGTGCAGCGACTAGACTAGGCAACCTAGGCAGTCCTACGCCTGTCGCAGCAGGGGAAGCTAAGCTACACAAGGGTGAAACACCTAAACTAGAGTACACAGGGTAGTAAGATCCATCAACACTAGAAGCGTCACCATACAAAGCATGCAAAGCAGCACCTATCTGATCCATGTCTAACTCAAAGATCGGCACGCCCTGGCGGAGCAGGCTGTGCCAGTCAGGGAGGTCCGGGGCCGGGCCAAAGCGACGACGAAAAAGATCGTCGAGGCGGCGGAAACAGCGGGCGGTCGGGTGCGGGCGGCGGCACAGAGTGCCGCGGAGAGGCCCGGTCTGAAGCTGGTACTGGCAGGTCACAGCACTGGAGCCGCTGGTAGACGCCAAGCTGCGCGGGCCGCCACCACGGCCACCGCCTCCGGAGGTGCCGGGCCAACCAGGCGGGAGACGAGCCCACGGCTGCGGCGGGTGCTGCTGGGACGGCGGCTGCGGCTGGGGCTGGTCCTGCTGCTGCTGGGACTGCTGCTCCTGCCCACCGGTGGTAGTCCCCTCAGGCGGACTACCGTCACCACCACCACGACCACTACCACCTGCGTCACCACCCCTACCTCCCTGGCGGCCACGGCCACCGCGACGCGAGCGCTGCTGCGGGTGGACAGCAGCAGCCGTCTCGGTAAGAGGGGTCGCCGTGGCGACCGCAGCCGAAACGTCAGTGAACGTGCACGGGGATGGGGCACAGCCGTGAAAGATAGAGACTGGCGGCGCACCGCTCGACTGAGCGATAGTGCGCTGGCGAGTCTCGATCTCAGTGAGGGTGTCGACAAAGGCGGTCAGGGTGAGGTCACCCGGGTGCTGGCTAAGAAAGTGGTCGCGAGCACTAGCGAGGCGGTCTGGCAGGCGCATAGCGATAAAATAGAGCGTCATGCAGAAAGGAGGGGGGAGCGCAGTGAGCTGGGCAGCAGTGCTGGCAGTGCGATAGCGAGTCTCTAGGGCACGCAAATGAGTGGCAAAATCTGCGACAGTAGGGAAGGCAGCCAGGTCTGGGAACAGCATCGGAAAGAGCAAGCGGCCAGCAGAAGCGGAGGCAGGGGTGGAATAGCGAGCAATAACGGCGTCTAAATAAGCTTTGGCCGTTTCAACAGTAGCAAAACGCGAGCGCTCAGACACAGGGAGGGCGTGACTAATAGCAACCTGAGCTACTGCATCGCGTGAGTCCCAGATCGCACAGGCCAGCGCAGCAGTAGAGAAAGCCTCACGGTCATCAGAGGAGGGGTCAGCAGGGAGGGGAGTAGGTGCAGGGGGACGGGGGAGCAAGCCATCAGCATGGACAACCAGAGAGTGGCCATCCTGGCGCTGACCTGTAAGCTGGCGGCGAAGATCGGAGAGCCAGGCGGCGAAGTCAACCGCGTGGCCCTCAGCGTCCAGGCGGAGCACAAAGTCAGCCATCGTGCAGGGTCAGCGGCACAGCTCCTCAGCGACACAGCGGCACAGCAGCACAGCTCCTCAGCGGCACAGGAGCACAGCGGCGCGGGGACACGGCGGCAGCACTCTCTAGTAGGGCAGCAGCTAGGCGTCCCAGCGCAGGCAAGCAGAAGACACAGGGCCCGAGAGGACACGGCAGGCCGAGCAGGGGAGGCGGGCAGGTGCTCTGGGGCCGGGCTGGTGCTGGGAGGGGCCAGGCTGGTGCTGCTGGGGCCGGTCGGGCACGAGGAGGGGCCGGGCAGCGCTGAGGAGAGGCCGGGCGGCGCTAGGAAGGGGCCGGGCGGCACTAGGAGGAGGCCGGGCGGCACTAGGAGGAGGCCGAGCGGCACTAGGAGGAGGCCAGGCGGGCGAGCGCTAACAGCAGGCGCGACAGGGGCCAGCGGGCGCGACGGGGCCTAAGGGGCGCAACGGGGCCCAGCGGGCACGTCGGGGCCCAGGGGGAGCGCGACGGGGCCGAGGAGGCGCGACGGGGACCAGCGGGCACGACGGGGCCCAGGGGGGCCGCGACGGGGCCTAACGGGCGCGACGGGGCCCAGGGGGGGCGCGACGGGGCCTAGCAGGCGCGACGGGGCCTAGGAAGCGCGAAGGGGCCCAGCGGGCGCGACGGGGCCTAGGAGGGGCGCGACGGGGCCGAACGGGCGCGACGGGGCCCAGAGGGGGGGGACGCGACGGGGCTTAGGAGGCGCGACGATGCCTAGGAGGCACGACGGGGCTCAGCGGGCTCGACGGGGCCCATGGGGGGCGCGACGGGGCCTAGGAGGCGCAACGGGGCCCAGCGGGGGCGCGTTAGGGCCTAGGGGTCGCGACGGGACCCAGCGGGCGCGACGGGGCCTAGGGGGAGCGCGACGGGGCCTAGGAGGCGCGACGGGGCCCAGCGGGCACGACGGGGCCCAGGGGGGGCGCGACGGGGCCTAACGAGCGCGACGGGGCCCAGGGGGGGCGCGACGGGGCCTAGGGGGCGCGACGGGGCCTAGGAGGCGCGACGGGCGGAAGCGGTAGGCGGGGGGATCCTAACCTAAGCGTGATACCATGTTAACGTAGAAACGAATGATTACTAGAGGTGGAAACCTAGAACAAATACTAGTTGGTTGTACTCACTAGAAGCATACCTCAGTCTAGCCTATAACTTCTACATAGATAATATGTATAAGTTGACAGGTCGTTCAGATGAAAAATTACTGGCTGTCAAAAAATCAGATGACACGGGAAAAGTGAGTCTGATTCTCAGATGAACAGACGGATTTCGTCTGCTAACAGGAACCCTGGCTGTAATCTCCACCTAGTAATCATTCTTGCATTCTAACATAAACCACCCGTGGAGTGACTATTTCGGCGGGTGTTGTATACGGGGGATTACGGTAACACCAGAGTCAGTGTTACAGCCTCGCGATACTTCAAGACTTCACCAAGGATCTTTGTTGGAACGGTAGACTAGCAAGATAGCGGAAGTCTTAGAACTTGTAAAGTGTTGACCAGAATTTACTGAATTTCAAGTTGATAATTGAAGTTGTACAAGCTACTTTTATATCTGCTAGAAGTACCTATTCCGCGATGTATCTGTTCGAGCGCACTACTGCAACTGCTCCCAAGTCTTGACTCAAGCAGATTCTATACTTGGTCTCCTGCAAGTCTTCTGCACCATTCTACAAATTATTACACCTGTATCCTATCTAAGGGCTACCCTTGTGATGATATCCCTGAGCTGCTCAACTCCCAAGGCCCCCAGTAACACCTCACTCCCCTCCACCAGCTTATCCTTCTGCCGTCTTGCTCCCTCTGTCCCTGTGCTCGCACTCCCTCCCGTCTCCGCTGCACTCGCACGCACCTCCAGAGCCGCTAGGGCCTGTTCTCTGGGTGCCATCCACCAGAGCACGCAGCTGGCTGCAGAGTCAGGCACCGCCAGCAAGCAGCACGTACCAGTATCTTGACTGGGAATGGAAGTGACACTGCTCGTACTTTGATGTGGTTCAGAGCGGTGGCATGTGGTGGAGAAGGAGAGGGAGAAGGGGGAGGCAGAGGCGGGAAGGGAGAGGGAGTGGGCGTGAGCTAAGAGGGCGGCGATGCATGTTGAAGCCACGTGGTTGAGGAGGAGAGAGGAGAGGTCCGACAGTGAGGGAAGCACCGTGGGGAGAGAGAGAGGGAGTGAGCACTTGAGGTTAGAGACCATGGGGTGAGAGGGCATGGGATGAGAGGGCATAAACTGGCGAGGGAGTGTATTATTCCCGCCTCTTGCTGTGCCAGTCACCACAATAGATAGCTCCACATCTGTCTGTTGCACTGTCACCTCCCACACACTCTCCCCTGCATCACCCCCTCTCCACTCCTCATTCCTTACCCTTTTGCTTCTCTCCGTGCCCTCACTTCCCTTCTCCCCATGCAACTGCTGCCCCACTCCTGCAGCAGTCCCGAGCGCACCGCCAGCTGCAGTAGAAGCGTCCGCTGCAGTCCGGAGCGCACTGCCACCAGCAGTAGCAGCAGTATCATCAGCAGTCCCAAGCGCACTGTCCCCAACATTCGGACCTTCGCCAACGTCTCTTGCCACCTTGCCGTGCAAGGAATCGTCAGGTGAAACGGCAGGTGGCTTGGCACCTGGTGCTGTTGCTTCATCTGGTTCTTCTGCCGCCCTGCCTTGAGCTGCTTCGACAGCTGCTGCTGCCCCTGCCGTATTGCCCCCACCTTCACCCCCAGCCACTGCTGTTCCTCCCCCCTCAGCCACTGCTGTTCCTCCCCCCTTCTCTGCGCCTCCCTTCTTCTCCCCCTCTCCTTCCCTCCTCCCTCCACCCCCTCCCCCTGCCAGGTCCCCAGCCCCTCTTCCCTCCCCCACTTCCCCCATAATGTTCTCCCCTGCACCTAACTCTCCCCTCTCCACGCGGTCACAATACTTCACAGGGCTTGATGGGGGAGAGTGGAAGGAGATGGTCCATGCAGCTATGGAGGGCTGCAGAGTGGTGTGGGATGAGAGCCTCAGGTGCGGGCAAAAACGCACCTGCAGTACAGGAAGGGCAGGGGTATGGGGGGACATGCAGAGAGGCACGGGTATGGGGGGACATGCAGAGAGGCACGGGTATGGGGGGACATGCAGAGAGGCACGGGTATGGGGGGACATGCAGAGAGGCACGGGTATGGGGGGACATGCAGAGAGGCACGGGTATGGGGGGACATGCAGAGAGGCACGGGTATGGGGGGACATGCAGAGAGGCAGGAGGCAGGGGTATGGGGGGACATGTAGAGAGGAATGGAAAAGAGAGGGCATGGAGAGGAATGAGAGGGTCACAGAGAGAGAGAGAGATTGGAATGAGAGGGTTTATGCAGCGATGCTGGCGTGAGACTGGCGGGGGTTGAGAGGCTCAGGTGCGGGCAAAGACACACCCGAGACGGTGCAGAAATACGGTAATCATATTATATGGGCCATATAATACGACCGTATTTTTCTGCCATTTTCTGGGAAAAAAAAAAAAAAAAAAAAAAAAAAAAAAAAAAAAACGCCATTTTTTTCTTTTTGGCAGGTCCGCGCATTTCGGCAGGCGAAATGCGAGTACCGTGCATTTCTGCTGGCGAGATGCCAGATCCGCGCATTTCGCTGGCCCAAACGCCAGATCCCCGCATTTCGACGGTAAAAACGTGGTTTCCGGCCATGTATTCCAGCTGGTTAAAAAAAAGGGCCAAAAAAACGGCCGTTTTTTTGCATCACCCTCAAAACGGCACTTCTGATAGTTAATCGTATTATACGGCTGAAAGATTCGGTACCGTACCCTATGGATTTTGATTTTTTTAAAATAGCGCCGTTTTTTTGCACCTTGGGTGGGAGAGACGGGTGGAGATGGAAAGAGGGGAGAGAGCGGGACAAAGGCATGGGGAAGACATGGTGTCGAAGGAGACAGTCCATGCAACGATGGTGGGGGATGTGTGGCGGGGGATGAGAGCCTCAGGTGCGGGCAAAGATGCGGCTGAGACCCGTGGGGGGAGGGGAAGGGGGGCGGGTATCGGGGACACAATGAAAGGGAGACGGGGGTAGAGGTGTGAAGTCATAGGTAGAGGTGTGAAGTCATAGGTAGAGGTGTGAAGTCATAGGTAGAGGTGTGAAGTCATAGGTAGAGGTGTGAAGTCATAGGTAGAGGTGTGAAGTCATAGGTAGAGGGGGTAAAGAATCAGGGGATTATGAGGTTCCTAAAAGTCATATGCATGCGCACTGTACACTCTACGCTATACTATGTGGTAGATATATCGTTTAACGGCTCTTCTTTTGCTCTGTGCCAACCCCCCACAAGATTTTTGAGGCGCCTAACAAGGCATATGATAGCACCATACACCTGACGCCATGCCATGCAGTGAAGACACTGCCCTACCGCCTTCCTCTTTTCTCTGTTCCCCCACGCAGCGCATGCAATGCCAGGCCTCACAGCACATGCGATGCCACGCCTCACAGCCAACACCGAACCAAACTATGCAGTGAAGACATCCCTCTTCTGCCCCCCTCTTTTTCTCTGTGTGCTGCAGCCCCACACAGGATATTTGAGGCGCCTAAAAAGGCACACAACACACGCACCACACACCGCACCATACACCACACCACACACCGCACCATACACCGCACCATACACCACACCACCCACCGCACCATACACCGCACCATACGCAGCACCATACACCGCACCATACACCGCACCATACACCGCACCATACACCGCACCATACACCGCACCATACACCGCACCATACACCGCACCATACACCGCACCATACGCAGCACCATACGCAGCACCATACACCGCACCATACACCGCACCATACACCGCACCATACACCGCACCATACACCGCACCATACACCGCACCATACACCGCACCATACACCGCACCATACACCGCACCATACACCGCACCATACACCGCACCATACACCGCACCATACACCGCACCATACGCAGCACCATACGCAGCACCATACACCGCACCATACACCGCACCATACACCGCACCATACACCGCACCATACACCGCACCATACACCGCACCATACACCGCACCATACGCAGCACCATACATTCTACTACGCCAGACCCTGTCGTCGAAAGAGATTTCTACCGCTCTCCTCTTTTCTCTGTCCGCCGCAGCCCCCCACAGGAAAAAAGCATATGCAGGCTACACCACACAACCTTCGCCACACCATGCAGCCATTCTCTTTGCTCTGTGCGCTGCAGCCCCCTACAGGATGTTTGAGGCGCCTAGAAAGGCACACACCACACACCGAACCATACAGTTGACGCCATACCATGCGTTGAAGGCATCGTTCAACCGCTCTCCTCTTTGCTCTGTGCGCTGCAGCCCCCCACAAGAGCTCCACTACACCCACCCCCATCCCCACACCGCTTCCACCGCCAGCACTAGCACCAGCACCAGCACCACCACCGCCACCACCAGAAGCAGCAGCAGCAGCACTACCACCCCCTCCCCCCCCTCCACCCGCCCACCCCCATCCCGACGCCTTCCGCCCACTTCCCCCTGGGCCCCCAACCCCTCCCCCCCTCCCCCCGCCTCACTCCTCCCCCACCACTTCAGCCCCCCTGCTGCCCTCACCCGCGCTTCCCCCCGCTCTCCCCCTCCCTCTCCCCTTATGCCCGCTCCCCCCCTCCCCCTTCTCTCTCCTCCTCCCATTCCCCTTCCCCTTCAATCTCTGCATCTAACAGTTGCCAACGAAGCTTCCTCACTCTTTCCTGTGCCTGCTGCTGGAGCAGCAGATAAGCCTCCCCCAGGTACACCCTCCCAGCTGCCGACTCTGCCCGGTCCATGAATTTTCCAAAGGCTTCCCTGTCATGCCAATGCCTCTGCTGCAGCTGCCCCTTACCCTGCCCCTGCTGCTGCTGCTGCTTCCCCCCTTTAAGCTGCAACCGATAGTGACGGCGATTGAGGGTGTGCTGGGTCAGAGAGGACCAGAGAGCAGGGGGGGACGGGGGGGAGAGGAGGTGGAGCGAGAGCGAGGCAGGGGAGGAGGCGAGGGAGAGGGAGAGAGAGGAGGAGGAGATGGAGGTGAGGGGGAGAGAGACGGCAGTTGCTGCTGTGAGGTCACCCTGGAGAGACTCGAATAGCTGTTAGGATAGGAATAACAAGGGAGATGAGAGCGGAAGAGGGGGGGAGGAAGTGGGAAGTGGACACGGTAAGCAAAGGAGGGAGAGGGATACTGGAGGGAAGGGAGAAGGAGAGTGAACACGGTAAGCAAAGGAGGAAACAAAACGAGGGGATAGAAGGGAGAGAGGCGGCAGTTGCTGCAGGGAGGTCGCTATGGAGAGACAGGAATGGCTGAAAGGGGTGTGGAATGGCTGAAAGGGGTGTGGAATGGCTGAAAGGGGTGTGGAATGGCTGAAAGGGGTGTGGAATGGCTGAAAGGGGTGTGGAATGGACATGGGGAAGTGGGTGGAAGGGGAGTGAGGGAAGACGAGCGTGAGGGAGATGGAAAGAACTGGCAGTTGTTTCTGCGAGCAAGGTGGGGTAGGAGCAAGGTTTTGGGGTGGGAGGGGAATGGGAATGAAGTCAGGGACGAAGCGGGAAATAGGGTGGGAGTGACGGAGGGAAGTGGAGTGGAGAGTGAGGGGGTCAGGGTTTCAGGTATAAGGTTAAGGGTTGAAGGCATACGGTTTACGGCATACGGTTTATGGCATACGGTTTACGGCATACGGTTTACGGCATAGGGTTAAGGGTTCATGGGGTTAAGGGTTCATGGGGTTAAGGGTTCATGGGGTTAAGGGATCATGGGTTGTGGTTCGGGTGACGCAAAGCTACGAGAGGGGCGAGGGAGGAGCGAGGGAGGAGGAACAATTTCCAAGGAAAGCTAGATGTCAGACGAAAGAGGTCACAGGGGCTACATGCGACTACATATGGCAGAATGGAGTAGATGGATGCTGATGTACTGCGGGGAGGAGGAACGATTTCAGAGGAAGGCAATACGTCAGACAGAAGGGGTCACAGAGGCTACATAGCAAAATAGCGTTGATGGGGGAGGTTGATGGGGGAGGTTGATGGGGGCTGCTGCTGCTGATGTACTGGCGTGATGGGCACCTGTGATGATAACACCTGAGATTATGCCTGATGTTATCCCTGCTGTAAGGGCGCATGACATTTTGAACGTATCGGGATGAAGGTATGCAATTTTAGCTGGTCACCGGATCAGCGAATTTAGCGAATAGATTCGCGAATACCTTTGAGATTTTATGTCACATCCAGGTTCGTCCCGCTAAACAAAAAGGGCTCGTTCGAGCGCGCTCGAAACTGCCAGACCAACGTCCGAACTTGACGTAAAGCTTGACGGCACACGTGCCATTCATAACGTGCGATTATCAGAATTTCCGTGCACTCGGAAGCGGTTGGTAATGAGTGATGACTCGTAAACGTTGGTTTCGTCAGACGCGCCGCGTCAATTCGCGGTCGTCGCACGGCCTGAACGAACAGCGGCGATGCTGCTTGATCGTCTGTGGACTGTGGACGTCCCCGCGGACGCACCGCGTTGTGCCTAGACATGATCAAAATGCGATTGCGATTTAAATCGCATCGCACAGCACAGGGGTGCGATTTAAAAAAATGCGATGCGATTTAAAATCGCATCCCGCGATTTAATTTCGTGAAAAATAAAAAATAAAAATCGCACATCGCATTTTGGGCGCAATGTTTATATAAACCGCATGCGATGTTTATTTAAATCGCGCAATGCGATTTAAAATCGCATCGCATTTTACTTCAATTAAAAAGCACCTCACAAAACCGGATTAAAAAAACCAACACCGATGGGAATTTGGATCAAGGGCAGTCGATGGCGGTAGTTTAGATAAATAATTCGGTTCAGTATTGGGTTTAGGACAGGTGCGAGCCCCCGTGGTATTTCGAAATTGCGCGCCAAAAAAAATATCGCAAATCGCATTTTAATCGCGATTTTCAGCGCGATTAAAACGCGATTTAAATTTAATCGCGCGGTAAAAAACTTCGCATCGCGCGATGAATTCAACAAAAAAAAAAAAAAAAAAAAAACACACACACACACACACACACAAAAGAAACAAGAAAACACATAAAGAAAAACGCACCAAAAAAAAAAAAACCCACAAAAAAAACATCGCAATCGCAAAAACGCGATTAAAAGCGATGCGATGCGATTTAATCTGCCCATGTCTAGTTGTGCCCTTGACAGGTTGCCAAATACAGCTTGCAAATTTTGCAACTTTGTAGTCTGTCTTTCGAGCCTCGAATGTTGACGAGTCCAAACCCGTTGTACGTTCATCGGATACGGACTTTTGAATTAAAGAACCTTGTAACATCTGCTGTAACCGCTGCAGTAGCTACCTACCTGCCAGTCAAACCACGACCGCTGCACTGCCCTCAGCAGCTGATGCGCCTTACGTACCGCCCTCCCCACATCCCCCTCCTCCTCACTCTCCTTCTCCTCGTCCATCCCTCCACCACTCTCTCTTTCCTTCATCCCTCCATCCCCACTCTCCTCCTCCACTCTCCCTTCCTTCTCAACTCCCCCCTCCCCCCCCTCTCCCCCACCACTACCACCACCGTCCTCCCCAACCTCATCATCATTCGCTTCCCTCCCAAACAAGCTGACGTGGAGCTTCCTGATTGGCTGGCCCTCAGGCGAAGCAGCACGGAGCATCCCCTGCTTGTCCCTATCGAGTCTCAACGAGGTAAAGGGGAGGCTTGTAGCGGGTATGACAGGCATGCTGGCAGGTAGGGGGAGCGAGTGAGGGAGGGAGAGGAGGAGCGACTGCACAGTGACGTCAGCAGCAAAACCAGCAGCAGTGGAAGAGGAGGAGGAGAGGGGGGTTGGAGGAGCGGCGAGGGCAGGGTGGGTGCGCTTGACCTTCCACCTGTGCTGAATGCTGCAAGGAGAGAAGGGCGTTGGGGAATGGGGGGGAGAGGGTTAATGCCAGCAGAGAAGTCAGCAGAGGAAAGGAGGAGCCAGAGAGGGGGGTTGGAGGAGCGACGAGGGTAAGATGGGTGCACTTGACCTTCCTCACGTGCTGAGGATGGATGGAAAACAACGGCAGGGGCATGGTATGGGGGCAGTGGACAGAAGACGATGTGAGACAGCAGGAGGGGCGAGGGCATGGTGGGTGCACTTGATCTTCCACCTGTGCTGAACCCTGTGAGGGAGGTGGGGAGGAGGGGGGTTAGGAGGGGCGAGACGGGCGAGAGATGATGGAAAAGAGACGGTTGGGAGAGAGGGCGGGCGGATGAGGGAAGGAAAGGAGGACGGTCTAGCAGCAGCAGTAGAGGAGGGGGAGGTGGAGAGGGGTTCGGCAAACGGGAGGAGAGGGGGGGGAAGGGGATGGTGGTAGGCAGTAGATAGAAGGTGAGGCGGACGACAGGAGGGGTGGGAGAGGAAAGGAAGGGGGAGAAGGATGGTGGGATGATACCTGAAGGAGTCATGCATGCACACTGCACGTGACTAGCCATACAGCTCTAACGTGGTGCTCACTACTGCAGTGCGGTGTAGAACGGTGCGTCGTCGCTCACTTGCTGGGTGAGACGCGCTGCTGCGTGCAGCAACCCACCGCCCACATCCTGTGTTGACAGGAAAGACAGCAAGAGTGCAGACAAAGACAGCAAGAGCGGGCGCAACGGGATTGCTTTTGAGCCGCCTTAACTCTTGCTGGTGGTGAGCTGCGCTGCTGCGTGCGTGCAGCAACCCACCGGGCCACTGCCCACATCCTGTGTTGACACAGGGGACGGGGAAGCACAGATGAGGATAGCAAGAGCGGGCGCAACGCGATTGCTTCTGAGCTGCCTCAACTCTTGCTGGTGGCGAGCTGCGCTGTTGCATGCAGCAACCCACAGCTCACATCCTGTCTTGGCACGGAGGACAATAGAGCCCAGACACGAAGAGCAAGGGGGGGCGCAATGGGATGGCTTCTGAATCGCCTCAACTGTTGCTGTGTGACAGGAGGACTGAGGGGTGGCAGGAAAGGGAGCATAATAGAATCAAGCAAAGAGAAGAAAGAAGGGTCAACACAAGAAAAGAGCAGTGCATCGCTATCCATCGCACTGAACTGCAGTGAACCCACCCACCTGCAGAGCAGCAGCTGCTTGTGTTTAGGCATGAGCATAGGCTCGGCCCAGCCCGGCCCGGCCCCATTCTGATCGGCCTGGCTTATGGTCGAGCCGACGTTGGGAACTTCCTGGCCCGCGCCCGCGTTTAGGGGTCGGGCCGGCCTTGGCCCGGGGGCGGGCAGGCAGGGCCGGGCCGGGCCCGGGCCTTTCGCTCATGCCTATTGGTGTTTGCCTGCCAGCCTGGCAGTGAGGTCGGAGCTCATGTCTGCTGCATGGTGCTTGGCCTTGGATAAACCACTTACCAGCAAACCCTTTGCATCGCACTAAACCGCCCTCAATCGCACTGAACCCACCTGCAGCAGCTGGTGTTTGCCTGCCAGCCTGGCAGTAAGGTCGGAGCTCATCTCTGCTGCATGCTGCTTCGGCTTCGACACCCCACTCACCGCCAGCCCCTCTGCACCGCTCTCCACCGCATTCACCAGATCCACAATCACTCTCAGCTCCTCCTGAGCTGAAGTCAGCTGTGACATCACCCCCTGCCACGCCCATTCCCCATGTGCCTCTCCCACTGTCTTCCCCCCCGCTCCCCCCACTCCTCCTGCCTTCCCTCCCACTCCTCCCCCTGTGCCCCCTCTTGCGTCCCCCCCTTCACCTCCCCCACCTCCCCCCTTCCCAACTTGCTTACCCTCCCTGCCCTGCTCCTTCTCCTCCCCATCACCCTCCCCCCCACCCTCCCCGTCCTCCTCCCCCCTGCTCCGCCGTTTCCGCCCCCCCTTTCCCCCTGCCGCGTTTTTCTGCCCCCGTGCGCCCTTCCTCAGCGCAGCGCGCCCCCGCGCCGCGTCCAGCTGGGCAAGGAGAGCCAGCATGCGCTCGCCTTCAGGGGGGTCGCTGGAGGGAGGGGAGAAGGGGGGAGAAGGGGGGGGGGGGGGGGGGCGAGGGGGGGTGGGGAAGGGGGGATGAGCGCCGGTGTTGAGCTGGGCCAGCAGCGCCAGCATGCGCTCATCCTCAGCGCGGGGTCGCTAAGGGAAGGGGAGGGAGGGAGTGCAGTGGGGGAGGGGAGGGGAACGGGGAGGGGATGAGCTGCGGCGTTGAGCTGTGCAAGAAGGGCCAGCAAGCGCGCAACTTCCGGGGGGTCGCTGGGGGGAGGGAAGTAGAGAGCGGAAGGACGGAGGTTGGGGTTGAGAAACCAGCGCAAGGGAGAGTGGAGAGGCGTCGAGCTGTGCGAGTAGGGCCAGCATGCGCTCCTCTTTGGGGGGGTCGATGGGGGGAGAGGGAAGGAGAGGGAAGGAGAGGGAAGGAGAGGGAAGGAGAGGGAAGGAGAGGGAAGGAGAGGGAAGGAGAGGGAAGGAGAGGGAAGGAGAGGGAAGGAGAGGGAAGGAGAGGGAAGGAGAGGGAAGGAGAGGGAAGGAGAGGGAAGGAGAGGGAAGGAGAGGGAAGGAGAGGGAAGGAGAGGGAAGGAGAGGGAAGGAGAGGGAAGGAGAGGGAAGGAGAGGGAAGGAGAGGGAAGGAGAGGGAAGGAGAGGGAAGGAGAGGGAAGGAGAGGGAAGGAGAGGGAAGGAGAGGGGGTGAGGGGGGTGAGGGATAGGGAGATGAGGCACGAAAAGGGGGAAGGTTGGGGGTTGGGGGTTGGGGGCGTTGAGCTAGGCCAGCAGGGCCAGCATGGCTCGTCTTCAGGGGGGTCGCGGGGGAAGGTAGCATGTAAGGGCCGGCATGCGCTCAACCTTCGGGGGTCGTGGAAGAAAGGGGATGGAAAGGCGGGGGTCGGGAAGGCGGGGGAAATGCTGGGGGGAAGGTTGGGGGAAAGGCCGCGGGGGAGGTAAGGGGGACGGGGGAAAGGGGAAGGGTATGAGTGCGTTGAGTTTTCCCAGCTGGTGTAGGCGGAGAGGACGGGAGAAGGGGGGAGAGTCGGATACAGGGAGAGAGAGGGATTTTATGGGGATGGAGGGAGGACGAGGCGAGAGGCCTTAAAGCCACGTACAGCACGTGGTCCTCGCTACCCGTGACGTCCATCTCCCGCACTCGCTTCACGCGGAGAGGGTCCACCATTACAATCACATCCGCCGCGTCGTCGTCGCCGCCTCCGACGCTGTGATCCGTTACTGCTTCCACGCCGTTCTGCGACGCATTCGCCTGCGACGCATCTGCCTCGCGATTTGATTGGTCGGCGTCCATGGCTACTACTGTTTTGCGACTACTCGCTGTGCAGCTGGTTGGTCACCACCGAGCTGCAGGGCTTATCAGCGACGAGGCAGACGCAGTGGGAGAGCTTGAATCATGAATTGACAAAACAATTCTGACCCCCAGCTACTAACAAGACAGCAGGAACCAGAAATGCTGGCGTAGTAGTAGTATCCATAGGTTCCGTTCTGCGTCCCTGCTGGTTGCTGCCCTGGGTACGGGATAATGGTGTACTCTTCATTATGCGAATAAAGAGGACATACTACTATATCATTCTTGTTTCTCCATACAAAAGACTATACCGTGCAAAAAGCATTCAACCAAACAAAACACTCAGCACAATGAGTATTTAGGTCCAAATGCGCCAAATATGCAAACTGGGTTCGACCTTATTCACTGTAACAAAAAACTTGTCAATACCCTATCAACGTATATATTTATATATATGTATATGTAGGCTAGGCTAGGACAACCTAGTTCTTGTTTCTCTCTCTTTACTAGTCGACCCCTTTTTTCTCTCGCCATTTCTCCTACCTAGCTAAACCCCTCGTGAGATGGTTTCAGAGCAGGTTGATCCTGCTGAGCCTACTCCTCATGCTTCCGCAGCGTATCTCCCCTCTCACTTTCGCGCTGCCATGGCGGCCTCGTTGTGCTGCCGTGGCCTCGTCGTGCTGTCCTGACGGCTTCGATGCGCCAACGCACAGACGGCCAGTGCGCTGGTTTAGCGCCAGCCACCACGCCCGCACCAGTGCTGATCTTTGGATTTTCACTACTCTGAAATATGGAAGTTACTTTCTCCACTACTCTGAAAACCAGAGTGGTCCTCCACATTTACCCTTAGGCATCAGGGTAACCATACGTTTTGGAGGTTTTTACTCTGACAAGTCAGAGTGCCTTAATTTCGTCCTAGTGTGTGTTATTAGAGACCGTGGATCTAGGGGGGCAGGTGCTCTTGCAATAAAATATAGCATTATATTCCTTCATTCACTCATCAGCATCATGTTATATACACTAGTCGCAGCAGGCAGTTAAAATTATTGACATTCGTAACTACGGCAGCTGCAAAAACTTGTCACCTGTAGTAGCAAGTGATGCAATCTCACCCTGCGCTGCCGCCGCAGCAAGCAGCAGGAACTCGTTACCCACAGTAGCAACAATGGTGGTGGCGATCCTGTCACACACACATAAGCAACGTGAGCAACAATCGTCTCACTGGTTGCCTTAACAGTGACGGCAATCTCATCTCGTCACATATAGCAACATGAGTAAAATTCGCGGCACTCGCAACTAACAACAGCAGTCTACGCGGAAGTTCCGTCACTTAGCAGCAGCAGCTACGATCCCACTATGCACAGCAGTAGTAGCGACGATCGTCCCATGGGCGGCAGCAGCCAACAGAATTGGCGTCACTCGTAGTAGCGGCAGCAGTGGCGGAAATGGCGGCCACTCGTAGCATGTGATGTGTGTGGTATGTTTTGCTAGTATGCTAGGAGGGTTGTTGGGCCTAGATCCTTCCCACTACTGACGCCGTCATTGGGATCAACCGCGCTAGGCATGGCGGACCCTGGTAATGAGAGAGGGCGTTTGCTGAAAAAACGACTAACAGGAGGAACGAAGATATGCGAATGCTGTGAGAGAGGCTAAAGTGGGGGAGTGGGGCTAGAAAGAGCTTGGAAAAAGGGAGGCGCGAGGAAAACATGTGTCCTATAGGGATCATCGAATCTGCCAGCAAGGGCGAGACATGCATCATGTGGCGTGGGCCAGCTCGGCGGTCCGCGTGAATACGGCGGGGATTTGGGGCCACGTATGTAAACAGGGGGGAATACGAAAATCCAGGGGTATAGGACGTGGGCCAGCTCGATGGTCTGCGTGAACAAGGGGGAATGTATGGACAGGGGGGTACAAGAAAATCCGGGGGTATCCCCCTTACAGTAAACCCCTCAGGGTGGTACAAAAGAAAACCCTGGCTTATCAGAGAAAACATATAATCTCAAAATTTTACCCAGAGGCGTAAGGGTGGTACACAAAATCAACTATGAAAATCAGAGAATCATAGTAATTTACTCGTAAAAGATAGGCACTGGCTCGCACGCCAGCCAACTCGCCAACAAGGGCGGCCCGCTAACCGGCGTCGCCGCCGAAGACTCACCCCCCCCCCTCCTCTGCATTTCCCCCTCTTCCCCGCCGCAGCTGCTGGCGATCTCGTGCCTGTAAGAATTAGAGCTGAAAATGGTTGATTAACTAAGGAGCCCAAGGCTCTACAAGTATATGGCAAGGTGCGAGAGAATGGATGAAGGGGGAATCGGAGGGAATCCTCACTCGCATCTCCGGAATCTCCAATTGGGTAATTGGAGATTGGGGGGATCATAATTGGGTGAGGTTGGGATTTTGTGAGTACACCCCAACCCACTAGAACATTCATAACCTAAACTAGGATATAAAAGTACAAATACAAAAGTGGGATTTACAATCTATTTCTAACACAACCCCATAGACTGCAAACCCAGTCAAGGAGCACATAGCCCCATGGAACGGAGAAGGCGATGGTGGTCAGCCTTGCAGAGAGTTTTGGTAAAGAGGTCGGCGAGGTTGCAATCGGAGGAGTGACGAACGAAGAGACTGGAATCTGAGGCGAGGGGATAGAAGTCAAGTGCGAGGAGGACTTCCTTCACCTTGTTATGCCACTCACGAGGAACCTTCTTGAGGCCATACACTGGGCGCTTTAGCTTTCACACTGTATTGACAGGGTAAGTGCCAAGAAACCCAGATGGGCGTTCCATGTGAACATCCTCCTTGAGCTGGCCTTGGAGAAAGGCGGAGGAGGCGTCCATGGACTTGATCTCAAAGTTGTCGCGAGCGGCTATACTAAGAAGAGCACGAACAGTCGGGAGCTTGGCCGTGGGCGAGAAGGTTTCGAAGAAGTTGAGATACTCCTTCTGGGTGAAACCGTTAACCACGTATCGTGCCTTGAACAGTGGAGCTTCACTTGGGAGTTGTTTGACTCGGAAGATCCATTTTCCACCGACGATGTTAACACAGGAAGGGGGAACGACATCGTCAAAGCTGTTGTTGCGAATGAATGCTTCGTTCTCCACATCCATTGCTGCCTTCCACTCCTTATAAGGATCCGAGAGAGCTTCCTCTTTTGTGCGAGGAGTCGGAATGGTCGGGTTCTTGGTGAAGTTGAGAGAAGGGCTCTCAGTAATGTCCGAAAAGATGTGAGAGAGAAATTGGTAGACTGCGTGAACGTCAAACAACTCTTCATGCATGTCCTCCAGAAGTGGACGGGGGGGAATAGGGATAGAGGGGACATCACCCCCGGCAGGAGGAGGCGGGGTGACCGAACACCGGATAGAGAAGGCGGCTGGTCCCCAGGCGAGAAGCGGAGCCGGTCCCTTGGAATGAGTGCGACTAGAGACCGGAGACGAAGGGGACTGCGGTGGGACCGGAGGGACTGGGCGCCTCAGATAGGAGACAAGTGAGCCGGGCTCGACGCGCGGGGAAGGCGGAGCAAGAGGAGGTGCCGCTGCGGAGGATACCGGGGAGGCCGCGTGAGACATGCCAGACAGTGAAGGCCCCGGAGAAGGGGCAGCGGCCAGAGGTGGGGCATCAAAATCTGCCCATACAAGCATCGGGGGAGGTGGAGGAGGCTCGCCCGTGGTCGCAGAGTGGAAGGGGCGTGTCTCATCGAAGACGATATCACGGCTGCGAATCAACTGTCTGGTGATGGGGTTGAGGAATAAGTAGTCTGGGGAGCCGGAGTTGTGCCCCAGGTACATGCAGGTCTGAGTTTTGGGACCAAGCTTGCCACCTCGCTTCCTGCGCGCATGGGGGCTGAGCAACACATACGCAGTACACCCCCAGACACGTAGAGAGCGGGCGGAGGGCGTGGCCCCAAGCCAGAGAGTGGTTGGTGTGGTGTCGGGCCGGTGGGGATGCGGATAAAGAATGTAGAGGAGTGCCGCATGGAAGAGGGCATATCCCCAGAGTGACCGTAGTGCATTGGTGTGAGTGAGGTGGCAGCGAGCGATCTAAACCAATGTGTGGTGGTTGCGGCTCTCTGCAATGCCATTCTGTTGCGGGCTTTTGGGGAGCGTAAAGGTTTGCCGAATCCCTTGGGTCGCGTAGAAGTTATCGAGTTTGCCATTTCGAAACTCTCCCCCACCATCAGAATGGAGGCATTTCAGAGGAGTGCCGAACGTGACTTGAGCCTGGCGCACCCATGCCATGATGAGGTCAGGTGCCTCCGCCTTGGTATGTAGGAGGTGCACGGAAACATGCCGCGAATGGTCATTGACTAGTGTAAGAATGTACCAATGACCGCCTCTGGATGCGACTGGAGCTGGGCACCAGACATCCATGTGCACTAGGTCGAGCGAAGCAGCTACGACGGATGGGGAGGAAGGGTGAGGCTGCTGCCTGAGCTTGCTCTTGGTACAGTCCATGCAGGTGGGTGCAGGTGAGTCTGTTGGTGGAGGAAGCGCCGACGGGAGGCCAAGAAGAAGTTTCTTGAAAGCGATGTCAGCAAGCGTACGGAAGTTGGGGTGACCCAAGCGATGATGGTGGAGGATGGTTGGGTTGGCGAAGCTGCAATAGGAACACGGAATGGTGTTGGCAGCTTGCTCTTAGGAGAGGGCGGCAAGAGGTGCAGGTGAATGCATCGTGTAGAGCTTGCTGCTGTTGAGTGTGAAGCGTGCTAGGAGCTTGTTGGACTTAGGGTCGAAGAGGTCACAGTGATCCGAGTGTGCTGGGAAGATCGTGGTGACGCCTGCCCGTTGGAGCTCGTGTTGGGCCACGAGATTGTGGCGTAGTGTGGGAACACACATGCCAGTCACACTGCCCGAAGGAAAAGCTGGGCACGGAACTGTGGAGGAGCCCTTGGCGTGTGTTGTGAAACTGGAGTCTGCTCCAAGTAGACGGATTGGTGTCTCGTATGGCTTGAAGGAGTGTTCTTCCTTGAGAACTGTGTGAGTGGCCCCACTGTCGAGGGTGAACTCTATTGTGATTGAGGTGCTTGCCGACACCATAGCGCGAAGCCTTGTAGTTGAAGCATGTACCATCCGGCTGGAGACGAAGGAGCGGGATCAAGTTGGCGAGTGAAGTGGTTGAGTTTGCCATTGCCGCTT